GAACTGTGCGGGCAGAACTGGGATTGCCCCAGAATGTGTTTGTTGGAGGCCAGTGTGAGTTCGGGAATAAAGTATTGCTGTTTGAATCTACAAAGCTGTGTGGTGGCTCGTGATTCAGTGCCAGCCGAGACACTGGCACACCCCTCCAGCAACTGAGACCACAGAGGCCAGGCAGCAGGGTGTCTACTGCTGAAATGAAGCTCACCTCCCCATCCAGCTTGGGCCACTGAACCGGGTCACTCGGGTAAACTTGGGCTGGCACAAAATAATCACACAGACATACAGAGAAAGTACCTTCTCCCCTTCAGATGTAAGCTCCCACAAGGGGGGCAAGAGAAAAACAAGAGAGGCAGGAGAGAGAGAGAGTGCGCTGGAGCACGTTCCAAAGCCCAATTTATTGAGGGGAGCCATTTGATGGAATGTTCCATCCAAAAACGGGCAAGGGGTAGTATTACAACAAACAGGAGGGTGTAACTCAACAGGAGGGTGACGCCCACTCCCAGAGCTGCACCTCTTGTAGCCGCAGAGGTAAGCCCACATGCACAGCAGTGGGTGCAATGCCACTCCAGTACCTCTTTACACAAGAGATGTGCGCAAAGCTCCTGTTCAGGGCGGCCTGCGACAGAGCCACAGAGGGCAATGCTGGTGGGAGGCTGACCCGCAGTCAAAGGGACGGAGGTGAGGAGGGAAACAAAGGTCAGTTTGTASATGCTGCCTGGCCAGAAGACTAGAGCAGAGGGGAGGCTGGAGAGCTGGGGCTAGAAGCCAGAGGGTCTTGACCATAGGGCCAAGACGTCCAGACTTGATGCAGAAGGTAACAAGGAACCAGGTTTGGAGAAAGGGCTCAAAGCCACAGTCGTGGGAAACCTGAGGACAGTGTCCTCACAGAAGGACCTAGCATCAAACGCCATCTGAGCTTCATCACGTGCTGGCTACTGTTCCCTGGGCAGGACAGTCGCTGGCCTCGGTTACCGCACTGGTATAAGAGCACACTTTGCAGGAAAGCCACTCACCGTGCTGGGCAGGTCTCCTCTAACCTCACACCAGCCGCGGTGCCCCCCGGCCCCTTCTGGGGGTTCACAGGCACTGACCCCGACCCCGACCCGACCCTTGCGCAGACTCAGATCTAAGTCCGACACGGCGCTCCCGCCTCCCGCCGGCCTAGGMGTCTGACCCGGCGGGACCCGGGCCTGGGCTACCTGCCGACGGCTTCCCGGGCCCTCCTCGGACTCCCAGCCCGTCTCCGGGCGCACCCCGCGGCCCCGGGCGCCCCTCAGACCGCCTACCTCCGCAGACAGCTTCCTCCACGCAGCCTCGCCGCCGCCACCCACGCCCGCCCGGTCCATGCCGCAGTCCGCAGACTAAAGACCGGCGGCCCGCGAGTGCCCCCTGCAGAGGGGCGGGGCTCCGGCCAGGCCACGCCCCTCCCCGCCCACCGCCCCGTTCCCGCCCCGCGGGGGCCCAATTCTTGAGTTACTTACTGAGGTTCTCTCTCCCGCCGGCTCCGCCGGGCGCTGATTGGCTGCGCTGGTGGCGCAGGCTCCTCATTGGCCAGTGCGCAGTTTAATGGTATGGGCGCCGAATCGGCGGGAACCTGCGGGGTGTAGTGGGAGTGCAGCTGCCTGTGGAAGGGGTCTCCGAGCCGCCATGAGCTGTGTCAACCTACCCACCGTGCTGCCCGGCTCCCCCAGCAAGACCCGGGGGCAGATCCAGGTGCGGGGCCGGGGGATGCGGGGGTCGGGGCGGTGGTGCCCGYGTGAAGCGGGCCACAATGACTTCTCCTTACCTCCTAGGTGATTCTCGGGCCCATGTTCTCGGGAAAAAGGTAATAGTCCTTCGGGGTGGGCAGACCTTTTCCCTGGGACCCCCGCGACCCCGGCCGGCCGCCCCTCTCGAAGGTCCGCTCCAGAGCAGCTTGCACCACCTGGCCTGCACCTTCCCGCCCGCTTTCCTGTCCTCCCTGGAATCCGGTCCCAGAGGAAGCCTGTGCCCGCCCGCCAGGTCAAGCCTTCCTGCAGCCGGCCACAGCTGGCCACAGCTTAGCAYCTACCCCTCTATGTCCTCACAAGAGCGTCCAGTTGTGGCCAGGCAATGAGTGTCTGGACGCCCCCACTCTATAGCTGTTTCCTTATGTGGCCAAAGAAACTTCCTGCTCCGCGTGATCGGAAGCCTAGGAGCCTTGCTCCCCCAGGCAAGGGACCATTCCCAAGCTTTTGCTAGAGGGTGGAGCCCGGGGTCGGAATTCTTTCCCAGAAGCAAGAGCTGTTGCACAAAACGTCTTTGCAAAGTTAACTCAGAAAAGCCCTGTGTTCACTCTGAATAGCTCTGGGGTAAGATGACCCTGGAATGCAGCCAGCCTCTGCCCACAGTCTCCACAGTATCCCTAAGAACCTTGCACCTCCAGTCCTTCCTGGGACCATTTGGCTGGGCACCGTTCCTGGCCACCCCACCCACGGAGCACTCTGGCCTCCAGCCCCCTGCGGGTGTTACTGATAGCCGKGCTCCAAAGTGAAGCCCAGCACCCCCTGTGGGCTGGTCTCGGTGTCTCCKTGGACTCCCTGCCCTTTCTTCCCACGCTCTGCTCTTGGACAGTGGTGGGATTCAGGCTGTGCACCACAAGAGGGCGATGGGGAGCTGCCTTGCAGGCTGGCCTTTCCTGACCTTCTGCTCTTGCAGCACGGAGCTGATGAGGCGAGTCCGGCGCTTCCAGATCGCCCAGTACAAGTGCCTTGTCATCAAATATGCCAAAGACACCCGCTACAGCAACAGCTTCTCCACTCATGACCGGTCAGTCACTGCTCCCTCTGATCCTGTCCTGGAAAATCCCAAGGCGCAGAACACACTGCAGCTTTGTTTAGCAGGGATTGTTAGTAACTCTGATTCTTGGCTTTCAAATTGGCATGCCCTCCAGGGTGCCTGGCAAGGTGGCCTAGGCCTGGGGCCAGTAGTTCTCAGCAGTGGTGAAGAGATTCCTGCCCCACCCCCAGACCGTTTGTCAAAATCTAGAGACATCCTTAGTTGTCACCGCTGAAGAGGGATAGGATGCTTCTAGCCTGTGATGGGCAGAGGTCAAGAATGCTGCCAAACATCCTGTGTTGTCCAGGACAGCCCCTGCCACCCAGAAAAACCAGGCCCCCAAATGACCATTGTGCCCAACATTGGGAAACCCTGCTCTAGAGCTTGCACCTGTGCAGAGGCTGAACACCTTGTTTGGCCTGTGCATTGATTCTTGTTTCGTGTTTTGGTCATCTGTCCTTCGCTGGCTCCCTATCATCTTGTGGCCTTGACACTTCCGGGTGTTATGTTTATCTGCCTAAATCCTGTGAACATTTCCGCCTGCAACCTCAGGGCCGAGGTTAAATTTAGTTCCTTGGTGCAGAGCAGGGCTGGTACTGTGAGCCAGAGGCTCCCTTTCCCCAGTCCTCTGGAACTGACCCAGTGACAGCTGAGCCACATGTGCGTCCCAGGCCTACATCCCCAGGTTGCTCTTGGCTGTCTGAAGAACAGAGCTGCCCAGGGCACAGCCTGGGGTGGGAGGTGGCGTGGAGGGAGCGGTGGCCCAGCCTAGAGCCAGTGCCAGGGTTCAAGCAACCCTTCTGGCCAGGCCAGGCTAGCTGATGTGGTCKCGTACTCCTCCATGTTTGTTTCCTGGTGGTTCGTAACCATGGTGTCCACTGCCAGGATGGGGTGAGCATCCAGAAGGACAGTGAAAGCACTTGTGACCCCTGCCAGGGGTCACAAGTCACTCTCACAGGAGAGAATCCACCCTGGTCGAAGCCATAGCTGGCTTGCTCCTGTCCTCCCTCTGGTCTTGTGTGCTTGGAGAGGGAAGAGGGGATTTATTTATTTTCACTTTTTTTCCATATTCATGTGTGGTGCTGAGAATTGAACCCAGTGCCTCACACATGCTAGGCAAGTGCTCTACCACTGAACCCTAACCCCAGCCCAGGAAGAGGGAATTTGAAATGCACAAAATGTTGTTTCATGTTCTTCCCAGATCTTGACTGTTATTATTGAAAGATAATAACTAAGTAGTAGTCATGAAGTGCTTTATTTTTTACAAATACAGCTACAAACTGCTGAGCCTTCAGGAAACTACCCTCTCTGAAGTCTAGTTCAGAAGATTAGGCAGAAATGGGAACAGAAGAAAACAACATTGTAGAAAAACATAGAAACTATTTGGAAAGGCAGAGGACAGGGCACCACTTTCCATTCCTGAAATGGCCTGCTAGGGGGATGGGAGGTGCACAGTGCCTGATGGCACTGGAACATTCCCACACATGCCTCTCATAGCACGGCTGGGTGGGATCCTCCCCGCTGGATGACAGCAGGTCCACGCTCCAGGCCTGGGATCAGCCTGGCTCTGCCAGCGAGGAGCCATGTGATCCTGGAGGGCTCCTTAGTTTTCTGGAGGTGCCAGAGGGAGGGAACTGTGGGTCACTGCCCTACTGCTTACCTCTTAGCCTGAGTTGGTGCTTATGGGCTGCCCAGGGCCACATGGCATTTGTAGGCCCTTTCCTCCAAAAGAAAATACTTTTTTTTTTTTTTTTGGGGGGGGGTGCTGTGGATTGAGGTCTTGCATATGCTGGACATGTGCTCTGCCACTGAACTACACCCCTAGCTCCTATGTGAAAATTTGAATTGTATTTTCTTTTTTATTTTCTTTTTTTTKGGGGGGGAGGGCAGTACAAGGGAGTGAAGTTCATGGACACTCAACCACTGAGCCACTTCCCCAGCCCTTTTTTGTATTTTATTAGAGACAGGGTCTCACTGAGTTGCTTAGCACCTCGCTATTGCTGAGGCTGGCTTTGAACTCAGATCCTCCTGTCTCAGCCTCCCAAGTGGCTGGGATCATAGGCCCGCGACACCACACCCGACTATTCTGAATTTTAAAAGAAATGAAAACATCTTGTTGGCCCCAAAGCTATTGTGGGTGTTATCCCTGATGGAGAAGTCTCCCCTGGGCTGGCTCAGTGGTAGAGTGCTTGCCTAGCATGCATGAGGCCCTGGATTCCATCCCGGTACTGCAAAAAGACAAAAACCAAAGTTGGCCTTGTCTGCCCCCCACCCCAGGGCACTGGGGAGAAGAGCTTTGCAGGCTCATCTTGGACCTTGAGATGACTTGTGTAAACAGATGCTCTTCTGAACAGGGTCCTGTATTCTCCCAGAGCTGTTCCCCTCATCACTGGCTTTCTAGAGCTCTGCCAGGCGGCGGGGGTGCCAGACGAGGGCCACACACACACACATCTGGTCCCAGGCCCCTCCCTGGCCTGGCTCACCCTGGCTTCCCCTTGCCAGGAACACCATGGATGCTCTGCCGGCCTGCCTGCTGCGGGACACGGCCCAGGAGGCCCTGGGTGCRGCTGTCATCGGCATCGACGAGGGGCAGTTCGTAAGTGTCCTGTCCTGGCCCCCCCTCCCCGCGCTGGCTTGGAGGTTCTCTGCAGTCAGGAGGCCAACGTGCCTCAACTCGTGTCAGAATACCTTGRATTCCCTCACTGGCTTCCACGTCACAGTCATATAGGTTTTTTTTAACCCTTAAAAATAGTTTAGTGAACAAAACAGATTAGGTTTCTAACACTGTGTGGGGAGTGTTGTTTGGCTCCTTGTCTCTTCTGCTTGTTCCTGGGGGTTGATCTTTCTCCTCGCTGAAYGGACGCTGAAGCGTGTCGGTTCGCAGTTCTTGCAGCCAGGATGTGTGGGTGTGAAGGTGAAAATGTGCCTGCCTCCTGGTTTGGGCTGGGTGGCCAGCGCCTGGCCGGTCAGCCTTGCTGCTTTGCAAGGCRTGGCACTGCCGTGTTCCGCRGGAAGGCTGCTGGCATCTGGCTGGTCTTGGAGAACAGGGTGTCCAGGGGAAGCTTAACAATCTACTCTTTTGGTTTTGCCTTGAATCCCTTGTTCTTCTATAGTCCGTCTGAAAAGTCTTGGGTTAGTCTCTCCGGCTGACTGCGTTTCTGTTGCTTCAGAAGCATGTTCCCTGGTGGAGTTTGCAGGCTGTCCTGGGTCTCGGTTCCTGACCTGTGCTTTGGGGTTTTGTTGTTGCAGGTTTATCTTGGATGAATGAAGCTGAAGCCCGCTCTCAATGGGGCTTAGTTAACTATTTCTATAGGTGCTGAGGAATTGAACCCAGGGCCTCSTGTGTTCTAGGCAAGTGCTCTACCACTGAGCCCCAGCCCCAGCCCACACATTTCTTTTGTAATCGCCCAGTAAAGATGGAATATATTTAAGGTATGCCACATGGTGATYGATAAAAGCGTGACACACAATCGGAACTTATTTCTCACGTGGTCCTACGTGACTCCAACTCGATTGATGGAGAACCTGCCCATGGGGCTGGCCACTGTCACAGGGGGGTCCCATTCAGAATGGAAAGGAAAATCCAGAACACACTTTGGGTGTGGGTTTTCATGGGTC